TGGTTGTTACAAAAACCTTCGAGCTTCGTATCATTAGAGATTTACGTGAGAGGACTTTACACATAGCCGATAACGAGCATACTATTCTTATTAAATATGAAATATGTGAAATCGATGAAAATGGAACCGTAATAAAATCTGTAAATTCTTACGTCAATTTTATATTTGTATCAGTAGCTGAGAGAATATCACAGATTAATTTTATTTCGATAGGAAGTGAAGAAAATACATTGCAATTGGCTGCCAATAGGAGAGAAAGAATCAGACAACCTTCCATTAACCGAATTCCGGAGTACGATAAATAAAACGTGATAATGTCTTTTATGAAATTTAAAAGATATTTGACATATTTATCAAAGTGTGAAACTTCTCTATAATTTTTGCCATTACTTACATAGTTCGTTATCACGTCTTTATATATTTTTATGTATATCTACATTATCTATATACGCTATTATATTTTATCATTTTTCATTAAAAGACAACAGAATCCATTCTTGATAATACGCTCGCGCATAAATATCAGAACTAGTTCGTTCTAGATGCGGTATCTTTGTGATCGGGCAGTGATGACACCGATGAGGGAATATAGCGAGATAGCGCACGATTTATTTCCATTTTCCGAACGATGCGAATACCCGCGTACACTCGCAGGTACGCGCGCAAATACGCACGCGGGTTCAGACGTGGCAGATCGGACCCGCGATATCAGCTGACTGCGCGCCCGGGTCGTGTGTGCATCGCGCATGAGTTATTGCGAGATCAGCACGAATTTCAATAAAGTTATTTCGCCCGCGTGGTAAAACGACAGAGAGGGAAGCAAGGGGTGACAAGGAGGGCGGGGACGACGCACAATCGCAGCCGGATTGAATTATCGGCGTTAAATTCCGCGTTTTATGCACACGGCCGTTCGCATGACCTGTCAGCGCCGAATGGAGACGTTATAAATGTTAATTGCCCGAATTGCAGTTATCGCGCGATGTGGTCGCTTTCTCTTTCTCTCTCTTCTTCTTTTTCTCTCATCTGTATCCTACCCTCGCTCTCCGCATTTTCTCTCATCTCTTACAGCGTCCTCGACTTCGCATCTTCTTTCGTTCCGCGCCCCCGTCGTCTCATTTCCTCTCTTCTCTTCTCTCGCTGAATGCGAGAGACTGCATTTGCATCTCAATCTCGCCGTTGATTTAGCAGTCGTCCGGGACCATCACTCTTGCCGCGGGAAAGGTCGACTTTAGTATTTTTAGATTAGCCAGTCGCGATGCGGCCTCTCGCGAAGCACTTTTTCGTACCGGAAAGGGAGGGGATTCATTTTTTTTTCTTTTAACACAGGAAAGAGGGTCGCACACGTTCGAATGTCTTTAAATTGTAAATGGAGACGGCTCAACTGAGAGAAACCAGGAAAAAGATCACGAAGGAGGTCGACTTTTATCCTTCAAATGGACGGGGGATATGTCACGTGTCGGAGACTCTCTTTTCCTGCACTCGCAATACGCTCGTATTCTCGAAAACGAATTGTCATCGTTCATGTCGTAAGTCGCGAAAGTTGAATTTACGTTGTATGGTTGGATCTCTTTAAAAATGCAGATCGCTTTATTATATAACAAATTCCAGAAAAATACATTTTTTAAACACATTTTTTAATTTCTTTCATATAAAAAAAATTAGAAGTTTTTTTTTAGATAAAATTATGATCTTCTTAATAAATTACAAGTACTGTGATTTAAAAAATACAAATCAAGGTATAAGAAAATGTAGATATTACAGAACATTTGATTTATAGTTTGATGCAAGGGTCGCAACAAAACGTTCAATTTCTCAGTTTCACATTTTACCGAGATTTATGATCTAGTAAGAGCGTAAAAACGTCGAAGTTCTCGCAGCGCCTCTTTATTTACGAAAGGGCAGCGAAACCACGGGTCACACAATAAAACAGCCTTTATTACGGCGCAGCTCCCGCATTGCGCCCGTGCTGGAGCATCGATCGTGCACTGTATCATCTTACAAGTTAAGTTTTATGACGGCTCACCTGCCACCATTTTAGAATGAGTAAATAAGTACTATCTTGATCTTAATGCATCCACGATTTCGAATTAATCTCTAATTTCTATTTATCTAAGAAAAGTATTTTTATATAAACGCTATAAAACGCTTACACAATTTTCGAAGCAATTATAAAAATGTCTCTTCATCGCAAGTAAATGAACGCACCCAAACGGTGAAAGCATATTTACGCACAAGAAAAGGACGTCACTTTATTCGCATGCGGCTTGTTGACAGCCACTTGCCTAACGTACATAGAGGCGGGTGCATCTAGAATGCAGGCTGTACAGTCGCGTCGACACACGGCGCGACTTCCGGTACGAGGGACGGAAGTTGTCATCGGTAGAGGCGCGTGCCGGCCACGCGACCGGTCGCGCCTGTATTCGCTTTACCTCAACCGAGGAGGCTCGGCAATTGACGTTAATGGGACGATCGTGCTGAGACCGATAATTGCGCGATCAATACCAATCGACGACGATCGTATCCTGCTAACAATACCGGAGATACATAAGAAATAAAGACATTTCGCCCTCGCCCAATTATTATCGAAAATCGTCCGGCGAAGCCATCGTAGCACAATTCGTTTTCATGTTATATGTATGTAGTATAATTTTCAAGAATGCAAGTTAACTGATGGATGCACGTAAAAAATATTTGCGCGCCCTCCTAACAATAATTCTGTCAATATAATATCGCTTTTATTGACGCTGACAATGCGCTTCGAAGATAGTTATAATAGAGCCAGCGTACATGAGATGGTAACAATAATTGAATCTAATTTAATGCCGTCTTTACCATTGATGAGAATTGATAAGCACGCAATTCTCAACAGCGCGTAGCATAATCGGACCATAATAATAATGTAGCCGACAGAATAGCAGCACGTACCGCGAAATAATAACAGCCGTGTAGAGAGCAGATAATAAGGAAGCGGATAAATTATTTTCGAATTACACGGTTAGCGCTAATGGGTTGATCGTGCAGTAGCTTCCCTCGCGAAGCTGCGTACATACTGCTAATATCATCTGCGTATACGCTAATAAGGTCCGCCATAAATTCTGACAAAACCTGACAGATGTAGAAACGCGGATGTAACGCAACAGGATTACCTGCGTTGTGCGCGTAGCGCGCATAAAGAATGTATATCTGTTTAGGAGAGCTGATAATTATGAGCGTCAACCGTTATCTTAGAAATCGTGCGGGTAGTGCCTTGCAACGCAACGACGCACGACTAGCACACACCTGCGTGCCGATACATTCGCTCGCAGTGCAGTATACACGGAAACGCGTGTCCACGTAACCGCGCGTAGTTGACGAAACGCACGTTGCATTGAAACAATACGTTGCCATGGTGAAAGGTACCGCGCGGCAACACCTGATTTCAATGGGCCCGACTGACGGCGACCAGTACGGAAAAAGGGAACAAAGGGAGCGCGAGACTTCTTGACCTCGCCCGCGCGAGAAAAGGAAGCTGCTCCACTTTTCGGAGCGTTTCACGACGACTCTTTGTCGAGCATCGCCGTGAGACGGCAGTTTCGTGTCGCGGCTTGAGAATGTAAGATGAAAGCGACGTCACGGCGGCTCAATCTCGTCGACAATTGTATTAAATCCTTTAACGTTTCGACGTCACGCGATATTTCCACGAGAATAATCAGATGATAGCGTAGTCTTTTTATCTATTTTGGAAAAAATGTCAAAAGTAGATTCTCTTTATCCCTGTCTATAGAAATTAAAAACTTTTTAATTTTTTAAATAATTATATATTACTAATTAAAATAATTTTATAGAGATATTAAAACTACTGAAATTATGTTATATTGGTAATATGTGTTATTAATTCATGAATGTATAATGCAATTTAGCTCCGATAAAAAGGGGAATCTAAGAAATAATATATACATCTGCAGACTGTTCATCAGCTATGATAATAACGTGCGGATGCGATAATGCGTACGAATTAATTTTATCGTTTGACCCCGAGTAGCCTCGATGACTTTTGTATGCTTATCCCACGGGAAATTTTCTCTGTTTGAGAACCTTCCTATTACCTGCTAACGCCGATTCAACGTCTCTTGTTACATTTCCTTTTTTTTTTACAACGGTGATACGGGTAGCGTATTACCTATCCATTTACCTTTCGTCATTGAATATCGATGGCACTTTCGTTTAATGGCTAAAAAAAAAGCAAGAAGGAGAAAAAGAAGGACGATTCAAGACTTCATGCGCAAATCCGTGCCGTTCCGTTATGCACACCGTCGCCAGAACACCTCCGTAAACCCCTCCCCGATTGATGTCGGTCGTCGATACATTCGAAATATCGGTACCGTGACGCGCGCGATCGCCGTAATCCCTCTACATTTAACATCCGAACGCGTGGGCACCAACATGCAACCCGGTGACGATTTACATTTGCGATTTTCACCCTTCGGTAAAAATGCCGGCCGACAATGCCGTCGGGATATCGCCGGGATCTAGCCACATGAAAAACGTCCTGCGCTTATGCAGCCTCCTACAGTCCATCGACAACTATTTATAACCAGCTATATTTTCTACAATATATCCATGTGCAGTGCGCCAATTCTTCATAGAAAGAGCACAATAAATATTTGTGAAATTACACAAGGCAGTATTAATGATAAATCTAGAAGAGAGAAATATACTTCAATTATTATTCATAGATGGCAAAATATATTATAGCGGAAATAATTAACGAGAAACAAGATAATCAGTATAAAAATTGGAGATTTATTTGATACAAAAATTCGATAAGTGTACGGAAATAATCGTAATAAAACGTGCGTCGGGTTAAAGTTTACGTGCATCGGCATGCCATAGACTTCCTGAAAACCTGCTTCGAGGTGGCAGTTTAAGGTGCACCGCACCACCTGCGGCCGCCACCAAGAGGTACCTGCGGGGTGGCAAGGCGGCGCAGTCGAGCATGATTCCTTCACATATGTTCGCAGAACACCAGCGGCAGAGAAACGCGCGTGCCAGGAGGATTCGCTTGTTGGCGGAGGGGCCCTCCGCGGAGGACCTGCCGGCTCCTGGAATCACGCAAGCATGAATCCGCCAAAGGAGTACCTCCTGCACCTGCAGCCCCCAAGACGGGGCGCGTCTACGCCAACAGTGCGTGAATCCTCGGCATATGACGCCGGGCAACCCTTCGTCTCATTCTTTTGCAATTTTTAAATATGACATATA